TCATCACCAATTTCATAACCTTGAAAAGTAACACTAAATCCTAAAACAAAACCAAAACCTACATTAACGAGATTAAGATTGAAACCCTGGATGACGATGAGGTTGTCTGAGATGAAGCATGTCTACTATGAAAAAACAGATAAAATTGTTCACATCTGCATCTGTAAAATGGTCGTAATTCTTGGAGACGATGTGATAAGTATCTCCATGATGGCCTGAAGTCATGACCTCGATGAATCCCTAAGCTCGTCGACATGCTTAAATGCCCCACCGAAATTGAACAACTGTATCTAAAACCTAGACAACTCTTTGGTTCAACTTTATACACCTCACCAATCGAATAGTCGTGTGCTCCAAATCAATATTCCATACCATAAACTACAACAATTTTCCATCAATTGAATTAACACCTAAAACGATAACCTATAACTATCAGATTGACCTGCACAAACCCTAGATGAATCTACAAAATGAAGAATGCTCATCTGCAAGTAGGGGTGTAAATGAGTCGAGCCGAGCCCGAACATACCCAAGCTCGACTCGAGATCGTTTATATTCATATGGGCTCGGGCTCGAGCTCGGCTCGTTTCGAGCCTAGTTTCAAAGCTCGTGGGAAAAATAACATACTCGAGCTCGGCTTAGCTTGGGCTCGTTTTGTTTGTTATGCGAGCCTAAACGAGCATAGACTCGACTCAAGCTCGTTTATGGTTTTTGAGCTCGTTTAATTGTTTATCCTACATTCAAGTGAATAATCCAACATCAAATCATACATTCATATATTACATATTTCCACTAGTTTAATGTCTATAAAATATAACCAAACATAAGAACATAAAGAGTTAAAGCTCAAATTACAAAAATAGTAGTTAACTTGCAAATTTAAAAACGACTAGAAATAAACAAATCTTCCTCGATGCAACTTCACTACTCGATACAAAACCCTAGATGACTAGATGTTTTGCGTGTGATGGTATGCTCTGAAAACTGAAGTGGAAAAAAAGAAGTGAATGGGTCGATTAAAAGATATTAAGATAGGTTATTACTTTATTAGTAAAATGTAATATATAAAGTAAAAAAAATAATGTTATATTATAAAATATATAGGCTCATTTAGGCTCGTGAGCCTAATCGAACTCGGTAACAGAAGCTCGGGCTCGAGCTCGTTTATTAAATGAGCCCTATGTTGAGCTCGAGCTCGGCTCACTCGTTTAACTTGAGCTCGAGTCGAGTTTTTAATGAGTCGATCTCGAGTAGAGCATGGGTAGCTCGACTCACTTACACCCCTATCTGCGAGACTATATACCACGAACGACCCGAATTAATCCTAGAGAGAACAGAGGGGAGAATAGAGCGATGGGATCGATGATCAGTTTCAGGATCCAAATGAAGAAGAAGATGCGCTGCTGAACAGGAACACTAGTTAGATCGAATGAAACAGGAAGAATAAACAGTTGATATGCGTGATTTCCTTTCGAAAATCATCAAGCTTGGTTTCTTTGAGAGTGATTCTATTCAGCATCGATCTGGGTTTCTTTAAGAGCGATTCTTGGGTAATATAACGGGTTGGTGGGTTGTTGAAGGGGAATGAGGTTTCATCGAAGGTGTGTTTCAATCGACTGTATGGTTCGATCGCAGAGAAAGGACAGGGGATGTCGACGATGGATTTGGGGGGTAAAATCTTGAAGATGAAGTGATATGGGTTAGTTTAGAGAGAGAGAGAGAGACAGAGAGAGAGAGAGAGAGAGAGAGAGAGAGAAATAGAGATAGATAGATATATAGATAGATAGATAGATAGAGAGATAGTATGTGTGTGTGTGTGTGCGTGTGAGGGGGGGGGGGTAGGGTACAGTGGGTGGAATGACGTGGCCTATTTTTTTTTTAATTAATGAAATCTACTCTACTAAATGAAAGTTTTTTTTGCCACATGTTACACTATCATTCAATTTGCCAAATGTCATTTTGTGGTTATTTTGAATTAATTATTTTTCATATGTCATTTTATGAGTTTTTCTAATTTATTTAATTCCACATAATATTTTAATGTAATAATTGCAATAAATATAGTAATAAATGGATATCAATTTCATTAATGAACTTACATTTTAATTTCAAAATTCTTAAATTAAAGCTTATTAGTTTTTTTTTTGTTTATTTATTTAAATTATTTGTTTAAATTTAAAAGATAAAAAACATTTCAATTATTATAATTCATTATTTTTCTTATTTTCTTATAAATCATAGTTCTCAAATACTTTGACTTTTATATTTAACTTTTTTTGTAAAAAATTAACCCATGTAATACATGAGTCTCACAACTAGTATGAAAATAAATATGAAATAATATAAAAAAGAAATTAAAAGGGAAAAATGGTTATTTTAAGTCTTACAGGGACCAAAACCACGGAATTTTCTTAATTTTGGGACCAAAACCACAATTTTTTTTTTGATTTTGGACCTTTCATACAAGTCGGAAACTTTTTAGACATTATCCACAGTTTTTCGAAACCACAATGACTAATTTTGTAGTTTTATCGAAAATTTAAGTCTTAATGTTATAGAACATTTGTATATTTGAAAAGGAAATTGATTAATACAAAACAATTTTTCTTCATGTATAATAATTTATATTTTATGGAAATTATACAATACAACATTTTAAAGCATAAATTATTTTTTATGGAAAAAAATTATTATATACGAGTTGGCTGAAAATATGTTTAATGATGTTATACACCTTAGAAAAAATGATTTATGAATGTAACTAAAGTTTCACATTTGTTTAAAAAATACCTAATTTCTCTTTCATATTTTCTTGGTTGTCTTTTTTCTTTATTCAGTCGATGCTCAGTGGTATATCAAGATTCCCACAATCATGGTATCTCATCATCCATTCTTTGTTCATCCTTGTTGCATCTTCAATCACCTTTAATCTGATAAAAATCAGTACACAAAACTAGTACATGAACATAAACACAACAGGTTTTGCATATATCATCAATAACGAAATCCCAGTTACACGAAATGAGATCGTTTCAAATCGGAACAGACAACCGGACATACGATACATCAAACCACTTCATCTATGGGATAAGTTCTCCGGTGAGTTAGCAAGCTTTCACCATCGATTTTTCCATCGTCGTCGATTCAAAATCGTACCTAGATTTCGGTGATTGGTTCACATTCTTGCTGACCGAAGATAATTCAATAGTTAAGTGATTCTCGCCGATGGGGCTGTCCGTAAATGGTTATGCAAACGTCAGTAACCTATTTGTTGCAGCGAAGTTTGATATATTTTCAAACGGGATTTGGGTCCAAGAGAAACTTTAGCGGTGATATTTTGGGATTTCAATATCTGATTTAAAGCTTTGTGAAAACCACGATGCGCCAAAATTAAGGAGCTCAGATCCGGTGATGGAAAAGATAATGGCAAAACTTGGAATGGCATTAATCGTTGGATTATTAGTGCAATGGTTGTTTGTACTTTGATAAGACTGCCTAGTACCGTACTGCGACTCTTGTCTTCTTCTGTATCTACTTTGATGTTTGAATATGTAATGTTTA